CATGGGAATCATGAACCATGATCTTAGAAATAATATGCTCATCCACGAGATAGAGCAAAATGCAATGACGATTGGTATCCAATAGATATGTCTATAACCCCAACGCATCATACTGACCGTCGGTGGACGCGTCCCTGACCTCCGGCTTATCGAGAGGTTCCTGCTTGGTTGTCTTGCTCTTGGTATGCCCATCTCTAACTGCCAGCTCTCGATCTTGACTATGGGCGCTTCTATCGATGAAGTCACCATTTTCCTTCCTTTTCTGTTTCTTGTGCTCCTGGGCATCGACGTCAGCCATGTGCTGTTTCTTGCACCGGCGCACCTCTTTTCTCTCCAGCACCCACGGCCTACTGAGAACTTCTCTCCGAAATTCGCGAATCTTGTTCCAAAAATGGACTTCTTGACTTGTAGACCTGACTCTCTGCAACTTATGGATCTTGATTTGTTTCTGATCTCTAAAGATCCTTAGACTGCCTTTAACCTCAACAACCATGCCAACGTCAATGTCCGAATACGGACCCGGAGTGGGTGCTTCTGAGGTCGTTTCTTCATCTAGACCATTTAAGCGATCGCTTTCAGTTGGTTTTTGGATCTTCGTAGAGCACTCGATACATTCGCCGGTGCTGTCATCGACCGTGTATACACGGTTGCTATAAAATTCGTCTATCGCAACCACGACCCCGACAATTCGGACCCAGCGGATGGGGTGGTTTAAGGAGAAGAAAACATCATCGGCTTTGATAAGGTAAGCTAGGTTCGCTGTACGGGGAGATTGCATGTATGAATACAAACCTTCAAATCCAGGTCGACATTCAAAACCATGGATGTCGATAGCACGTAGAGGGCACCATTTGTTTATGGTCGGGGATAGGTGAAAGCAATATGCGGGGTAATACACAAGCGGTTCCGCGCTTGTCATCGCATTTTGGTAGTTGATTGATTGCTGAAGAGCAACGCTAGCTAGGTAGTTCCGCCGTGTTGGTGATGTCTTGAAAAGTCGATGTTTGATAGTGAATATGAATAAACCTTGGTGATGCGACGGACGCGGAAAGCTTCAAAGTTAAAGCTGAGATATGCCCCACTTATTATGTAGGGCTGCCTATTAAGTTCTGTAGCACCTGCCTGGATGACACATTTAGACTCAAAGGCCCATACTACTACTACCTACTAGTAGGTACCCAGGTCCCAGGTATCATCCTTACGCATTTGATGACTTGTAGTCTACCTAGTATGGATGGATATAAAGGTAGATGTTGGGTTAAAAGATGTCACATTTACTGTAATTGTCACTATTTAAACAGCACTACCATACTTGAGTCCTGATGCGTATATGTATGTACCTACTCCAATGGATCCTTACTAGTCATAATCTAGTACCGCAGACGCCGCGCAGAAAAACAACAATCATATCAAACATTGGAAATGTCTCGATGATAGCCTCATTTCTTTCTTCCCTTCTTAAGTCTCGAGGCGGCAGCCTGGAAGGCTTCCTCCGAAGGTTCCTCTTCTTGAAAAGCACGCTTCTTCCCTTTCTTAGCACTAGCACTCGGCGTTGCACCATGCTTGGCTGCGAGATTGTCTAAGAAATTACTTCGGCTTTGCTGGTTGCCGCGAATGAGTGCTGCCAGGTCGTCTTCGGAAGACTCCTTTTTGCCTTTGCCTTTCCCCTTGTTGCCTTTCTTATCCTTGCTGCCGAACAGTTTGTCATGCACTCCTAGTTCCTTGGCATATTCTTCGGCTTCCGTACTCTCATTTTGAGCAGCCTTGGTTCGTGCTTCCTTGGACTTCTTGCTTTCGTGTGTGTACGCCTTGAATGCAGGAACGTCTTTGCTAGCGATTGCCTCATCGATAATCTTGCGGAATCTTTCGTCGTCTTCGAGGACGTCGCTAAGCATCACAGATTCGTAGATCCCGTCCATCTTGCCTTTGTAATGTTCGTAGGCGATCAAGATGTCGTCCTTCTCCTCGTCGGACCCCTTGTATTGCTTGGCAAATTTCTCTATCGCATCGGCGGAAACCGAGTCGCGGTACTGTTCTCGATAGAAGTCCGACCAACTGAAGCCGTCGGAGTCGACAATAGACTCAGAAGTCGAACCTGTCTCATCGTAACGTTTGCGTCTTGCCGGATCGGACAAGACAGCGTAGGCGAAGGCTATGGATTGAAAGGTTTCGTGGGCTTCTTGTTTCTTGTCTTCAGAAACCTTGTCTATAGGTAATATAGATTAGTATCTGAAGTCAGCCAAATATATTGGATAATCGTGAGCTTACCTGGATGATTCTTCAGGGCGAGCTTTCGATAGGCTGATTTGATTTGGCTCTCATCCGCCGTGCGCTCAAGGCCGAGGACCTCATATGGGTCAATGGTTGGTGGTTCGCCGGCAAGGAGATCGTCTGAGTCATCCATAACAAACAATGATACAGGAAGCTATGCAGACTTCGTGATTACGTAGATCTGGTGGGTGTTCGATGTTCGATGTTCGATGTTCGATGTTTAATGTTTGATGAATAGGTACTATGTAAGGTACCTTACGGATGTACCTATTAATCTAGTAAGATCGCGTTACACGCGTACGGCCGGGGTTTCCTGTCTACGCGATCTATCGATAAGGTCTGACCCCACTAGTCTTAAATAATTTAGCGGGGTACTATGCTGCATCCATGCAACTAATCAGAAGCCTCAAACTGAAATGAGCAAGACGCGATTCCTCCCCATTTCATATCCTGCTCATAACATTGCAGCACGAGAATGGCCGAAAATATACCTCAAAATGGCATAAATCCAGGAGATCATATATCATATATGAAACTTGCTCTTTCGTTAGCTACCAAGTCTCCACCAAAGCCTACCAACTACCGGGTTGGAGCGGTCGTGGTGAACGCAGTCACAAATGAGATATTAGCGACTGGCTACACACTGGAGCTTCCAGGGAACACACATGCCGAACAATGTTGCTTTGAGAAGATTTCACAGACCTACGACGTACCGGCAAGCCGCCTAGGCGAGGTGCTCTCCGACGAAGTCATACTTTACACCACTGTTGAACCATGTTCTCAAAGACTCAGCGGCAATCTACCGTGCGCGGATAGGATATTAGCCATAGGGAACAAAATCAAAACCGTATACGTCGGAGTTTGTGAACCTGAAAAGTTTGTCAATGGTAATTCTAGCAAGAAAAAATTGGAAGATACTGGCATTGGGTTTGTCCACGTCACCGGGCTTGAAAAGGAGATATTACAAGTTGCGACGGCTGGCCATGAGAAATCTACTTGATGTAGTATTGTACCATCTGGGTCTAGAGAGGGCAAGCTCGATTTCTTATTGAAGTGGCTTAAATTCAAACTCTACCTGAGTAACCAACGTATGAGACCATTTCCCACGGCAATTGAGCTCACAGATGAAGATTTTTCTGTGATCGAATATAGGCACCTAACTCCCTGCTTTGCATAGCCATTCGCCTGATTGACGACTTCCATCCTGTTGTGCATCTTCCGCTCCTTCTCAAACATGTAGCCTTGCCGCCAGTTACCATTTCCCCTAGAGATCGAGTGGATCGGCGATAAAGGCGTATGAAACCAAGTCACTGACTATTGTAAACTGTACTGGGGCAGTCAAATGTCACCTGAACCCATAACTAAGGCCAACTAAGTGTGGACAAGACCCTAGTAGGCGATAGTTCTAATATAGATGGATCGATTCCATTCAAGAGTGATTGCGAAGAGAAAAGCCTGACTAAGGCCTAGGAGCTTTCTCTTCACTTTTATCAGTGTGCCAAGAGCTCTCAGAGAGACAAGGAAAAGAAGCCTTGCTATCTAAGAAGAAAGTAGATAAACAGCGTTAGAAAGTGAGAAGGGGAGAGAGGAGAGTTGGATGAAGGGTGTGGTGTGATCTGTGTATTGTTTTCGCGCATACCTCTCGTTGAATCCGCCCAACTTCTACAAATGAGTTCCGACATTTTTCAGGATCCAAATTAAACCAAAGGAGGACGGGCATCCAACTTTCAATAGAGAAAAACGGAAGCATGAGACATTCATAGAAACAAGGAAATAAGTTCTGGGACTGCTGAGATTTCTTCACTTCCTTGCCTTCCCATCGGGCTGTGCAGACACGGTGTCTTGGCTTGTCGACAAGCGTGGCGCGCATCTCCCAGAATGACTTTCGACGTAGCCAAGGCCGACTCGGATCCCTTCCACCACGGAACGCGACGGTGAGCAGCTTAGTATAATTGTCAGGAGATACTTGAAGCATGTACTTGAGATTCCGGCATATGTCGAAGACTTTCGCTCGCTGGATCAGGAGCGCTAGTTGCATGCAGCCTCGAGTTGGGGCCTCGAACTCGACAGTAATAGATTTGGGTCGATATCAGCATATATATATACCTTGTCATTGGTGATGAGGGGTCGCAAATAGTCCATCGGAAAGTTCTCGCTTTGGTGGAGCAGTCTTTTGGGATCCAGGTTAACACAATTTGCAGGGCTGAGCCAGAAGAGTACCACGGCTCTGCTATTAGTTTCATCGACATTGCTTGGATGGACTGTTGAAGTCGTTCTTGTAGACTTTTGTCAGCTTGGGGCCGTGCATAGTCGATGATACCGCCCCCCAGCATACGGGCAAAAACGTCGGCGCGTAGTTGGCGACAGGCTTGTGATAGAGCTGTTAAATCTTCTTCTTCGGCGAGGATATCCAGCATCGTACTCTGACTTCGCGAGGTAGCCGTAGAATACCAGGAAAGTGCTCCATTATAGTCGATATTGTTTCGTGGCCCGGAGGCATGATGGTAATTTGTGCGTCAGGAAGAACATGTCTTTAGAGGGACAAGAAAATGTACTGGCATATACGCAGTACACACAAGAACTGAGAAATCGGAGATAGGCGAAGCCAGTTTGTCGAGTTTGTGTCGTAGAATTTAAAAAGGAGAAAAGGGGAACAATAGAAGAAAAATTAAAAAGGAAAAAAAAGATATGTTCGAAGTATCTCCTTAGAGGAGATGCATCGGGAATTGAGCCCGATGCGGGGGTCGAACCCGCAACCTTGAGATTAAGAGTCTCACGCTATTTGGACAGTTAGTAAAGAGAAGAGAGTAGGAGCTGGAAGAGTCAACTAACCTCTACCGATTGAGCTAACCGGGCTGTTCCGGGAGAACCGAACATGTCGAGTTGCTGACAAGTCATAGTATATATAGGTACGTAGTGCAAAAATTACAAAAATTCAAAAAGGTAGTTACGGAGCTCCGATGTTGTGCCGATCGCAGCTACCCCTCTATTGGCTGAATCGTCTTCGAAATTAGGTACAATATTAGTTACCACAATAGGAAACTTTAGGGCTCTACTGCTCGTTTAGGTTCGGCCGAGTGCACAGTGGCTTCCATAGATCTAAAGACTAAAGTCTAGAGTTCTAAACGACTCGAAGTCTCAAGACTCAAACTGCCACAGCCAATTCCCCAATTCCATTTCTGCAGCTAAACAGACGTGAATCTCGATATCTGAAACTTCAACCGCTGTGTGTCCTCAATTTAATTGACCCCCTCAAGCCTTACAATTCATTTTGACTAGAGTATTCTTTTCGAGTGTTCTGAAGTACCTAATTGTCCCATCATTTTCCCACGACGAATCCTTAATACCGAGTAGAGGTGCCTAGGGCCTAGGCTTCAGCGTTGAGTGTTTTGGTAATTACGAGATACGCGGTAGCAGGGAACAGATCTTCTGGGAAATTCCTACCTAGTCACTGCACGAATTTCACTGAAACCTTACTGGCATCTATGTGCAAGCCTAGGTACCTAGGACCTAGATATAAAAGAAAGATATCCTATGACATATGCATCCAGGGGTATAAGGTAGGTGAGGTGTCTCTTTAATGTAGGTAGGCTACCGACATATCACGCCACCAGCAAGTACCCTACATCGCTACATAGGACCATAGGACCTAGGTCAAACGGTGACCGGAGTGGCAGAGTGGCTGACTACCTATGGGACCCACCAACATTCCTTCCGTTCGCAGGAGCTTCATGCAACAGGAACAGGACATGCACGCTTCTAAGGCGAGTGCCGAGCCAGTAAGAATAATACTCAGATGCATAGAGGCGTTGCATTACATCAATTTCTTCTTTGTCTTGCTTGATTCGAGCGGCACGTGCAATCAGCCCTAATCTCGCACTTTTTCTTTCTACATAAACATAATGCTCGAGGATACCTAAGTACATATATAGCAGTTTGTGTGGTTGAGTGAATATTTCCGTAGCTTTCACAGCCCAGCGATGGTGGAGATCGATGGCGTGCAACGCGGGCCGATCCGGTAATATCTTACATAGTACATCCCCACGGGGTGCGGTTGAACCGAAATGCGCAATCGCGCAACCGCGCAACGACTGCTTATATGTAACTCTTCTCCACCTTTCACTGCTGCTGGAAGATACGAGAAACTGACTAGGATCCCGGATGGTTGTTGGGAGGGTCGAAGATGATTTAGGCTCAAAACTTTTACGTGTCGCCCAACTATTAGGGAAGCCCTGACTCTGGTATGTGAGGACGGTTCTTGGCCTCCAATGAGAGGCTCTTCCCAGTTCGTTAAGACATTGTCTGCGCATCTGTGACTTGAGAATAAATTATGGAGTGACCTTAGTCTGCCTGTCTGCATACCTAATGCATACGAATGGCCAGTGCCAGGTTGACGTAGGGCTACTTGACGGATGGTTGAGGCTGATACAAAGCTACAAACTACTTGCCCAACTACTACTATGTAGCCCTGGAGGTAACATTGAAGAAAATTAGGCACCTAACAGATAGGTAGTTACCTACCTGTCTCTCTAACCTACTCGGTAGGGACCTAAGCAATCATTTAGGCAACTACTGAGTATGGGTTAACCGTTACACATGCAAAACTTGTTTTGTGAGCTGTAAGAAAAAAACAAGTCTGTTTTTAGTCTCAAGCAAGCATGTCGCAATCTTATACCATATGTTCCAGACAGGATAATGACTCAGAACGCTACTTCCGATCACATACTTGCCATATCATCTATCTACTGGTGCTGTCTACAATCACTCTCGACAGCACCACTACTAGTACCATTGGTTCATTGGTTATGTATATCGGTAGGTACTCGGGTTTCCTTACATCTCTTGAATCCTGGTTGTTGTCCGCCAGCCTACCCAGTTAAAGTGACTCACTCGTAAGTTGATTAGAGACGAGTCCTGGCAGGGTTTCGCTGTTTTTGCAGCTTAAAAGAGACATGTCATTTTTTTAAATAGAGAAGTCATCACTGATAATCTGTACATGACCAATACATCTGTCATCATCATATGTGGGTGAACTTGAGAGCTTTCATATTCATCCATGGATATTATTGATTTGACTCTGTTGAAAGTTGTGTGGCCAATCAGCCAATCTGTTGACAGGTGGATGTGACGCAACTATTGGAAATAAAATATATGGTATGGATGGCATAAGGCTTCATTATTTTGTGAAATGAAAACCAGCGACTTACTTACTTAGTACCTACCACTTACTAGCACAACCGTCAACTGCCTAAGACCTAGGGATGTTTACCTCCAGCTAGTAATGCCTACCTGTTCTACTTGCTCAGGTACTCGCTTTATCAAATTTGTAGATTCAATGGAATGATGTGAATTTCGGTTCCCCTCACCACTCGGAAACTTCTAGTGTGGTGACGTCTCTTCCCCCCCTCATGCCTCATGCAGGATATAGCTGAAGACGCCACATAGGGCAGGATGCTAGGTGTAGATGGTGTAGATAGCTAAGACAAGGGTGCCGTACCAAAATCGCGGGACGCAAACCTTATGCAGCACGCCTGTTCCGCCAAACCATAAATGGCAAGTAGCTTGACGATCGGTTCAAATGCCAACTACTTGGACCCTTTCACCGCTCATAATTTTCGATAAAGATCGAAAAGTAAAATAAAACTCATCACATTTTTCTTGATCAACTTGACTGGAGGGGGGGAAACGGGAAAAAGGAGAAATGAGCACTTTGATCTGTTCATCCGTTTGCAAAACGAGTAGCGAATGGTGGGTAGTTTGTGTGACCTGCACAATACCTTAAAAAAAACAATAAACGTACATGTAGGTACCTAGGTACCTAAGGAAATGTACTTGCATGTACCTGAATATCTTCAGTTGGTTGATCCTTGTCACTACCGTTGGCAGGGTGGGTCTAACTCTTATATCCCCCTCTATTCTCTTCTTTTTTCCTTTCTCTTCTATCATCTTTATTGTCAGAAGTTGTATGAAGACCCTAAAATATATGTCATTCTATTGTTCATCATTTTGGAAACATCAATTGCTTAGGTATCTTGAATATCTTGAGTATCTTGGGTGATATCTTGTTTATTTCAGGAAATTCAGGTTACTTCGTTGAGTCTCGACGGGATCCTTTGACACCTCAGACTCCAGAGCATCTTGAGACTTGGAGAAACCCACTCACGCCCACGCCATCTAAGCCTCATTTATCTCGTTTGAGCATCTTGGTCGATCGATTTCACTCCAAGATCCCGTCTTGCATTGCACAGAATCCACATCAACGAGACAGTCTTCGGGAACTTGAAAGGTTGCCGTTTGTTTGCTTTTACCCCACGACGTTACGACCAACAGTCAACAGCCAACAAGCCTTAGAGCTAACGCCCAATATTCAACTATATCACCAATAAATCTGGTATGTAACTAACTTGTCAATTCAACGCCCTCTTGCAGTAGTCTTATGTCCCCTACATCTTTTATGCTACCTTAGGTAGCCAAACAACTTTGTCGCTTTAGCAAGCCAACTACCTACAAGCATTCTTTTTCCAGCTGTGGCCTATTTGTTTGCAGGACACTGTCCATCACAAGTGGTTAAAAAACCATCACATACACGTACAACCCCATACTGTTCCTATATAAATATAGATATTCTACATACCTATCTACACTGCCAGCCAATTCATAATCTGTTCGTTCTTGCCAAATACACACCCAGTAAACCAGCTATGAAGCTCGGTAGCTTATGACTCTTTAATAGGACCGTCAATCCATCTCCGTGGCAAACTTTTTCGCCGCGCGCAACCGGACATACCCATCTCCCCGAGCAAAAATTAACACACTACGTTCTCCTTTCTCCGTCCTTTGGACCTATTACCATGGCGGACCGTGGTAGAGGCAGAGGTCGTGGTGGTGGTGACCGTGGCAGGGGAAGGGGAAGGGGAGATTTCTCTGGAGGACGTGGGGGTGGTGGTGGTGCTACGTTCTCCGGAGTAGGCTACGGCGGTGAAAACCGTGGCGGCCGTGGTGGCCGAGGCGGTGGTGACTTTCGTGGAGGAGGGGGGGGAGGGGGGGGAGGGGGGGGACGGGGCAGAGGAGATTTCCGGGGTGGTCGAGGCGGTGGTCGGGGCCGTGGGGATAAATTTGCGAACGAGGATAGAGTCTTCGAGTAAGTTGAAGTATATCCAATTATTATTAAATCAGCACTGACAAATTGTAGAGAGAATGCTGTACCTCGACCGGACCCGGCTGTCAGTCAAATGGAGGACAACATTCTCAAGGACATGGGCATGGCGGCCAAAATGGCTTCCCTCCAGGTGTCTAAGACCTCGACACCACGGGCTGACGATTTTCTACCCGTCAGGCCGGCGTACGGTACTAAAGGTACTGAGGTTGTATTGTGGACCAATTACTTCGCGTTGGATGTGAAGACACCATCGTTATATAGTTACGCTATAAAAACTGAAAAAAAAGAGCCGGAGAGAAAAGAGGGTACCGAACCACCCAAGGAAAAACCTACGGCAAAAGGCAAGGGCAATGGCAAGGGCAAGGAGAAAGACGATAAGAAAAAGATTGAAGCCAAAGGGATGAAACTCCGCTCCATCATCCAGTTGGCCTTGGATGAAGTTGCTAAGGGAATCTCGTATGCGACGGAATTTAAGGGACAAGTTGTTTCCCTCTCCCCTCTCAAATTACCTGACGAGAAAAAAGTTACAGTAAGATATACTGAGGAGGGAAGAGAGGAGATCTGGGATGTTAAGTTTGACAGTCAGCCTGACGTCAACATGGATGCCCTGAGATCTTATATTCGTTCGATGCAGGCGCCGCCTAGCGAGGACCGAAAATTCCCCCGCTTTTCAGACGCCATCGACGCTCTTGGCATA